ATCACTGCCATCACCGCCATCACCATCACCATCATCATCATCATCATCATCATCGTCATCATCATCATCATCATCGTCTGCATCATCGTCGTCAGTATCGTCGTCATCATCATCAGCATCATCATCATCATCAGCATCGTCATCATCATCATCATCATCATCATCATCATCATCATCATCATCATCATTATCATCACCATCATTCACCATCACCATCACAACCCGCATCACGCATTCTCCTCCCTCCCCCAACTCCCCCTCCTCCTCCAAGTCATCCTCCTCCTCCGCCTCCTCATCCTCCTCCTCTTGCTCCTCGTCATCGCCCTCTCCATCCATCTCCTCCATCTCCCCCCCTTCTCCTCCTCCTCCTCCTCCTCCTCCTCCTCCATCTTCCTCCTCCTCCACGACGAAGCGAAGCCGCGCGAGGGCCTTCTCCTGCATCTCCGCGCGCTCCAGACGGGGGGCATCCGCGCGGGCGGCGTGGCCGTCGCCAGTCGCCTCCACGGTCTCCTCGGGCGCTTCCGAGGGGTCCAAGCAGAAGCGCCGGTAGACGGCACCTGCGTTGTGCGGAGGGAAGAGTGGGTGCAGAATGCAGGGAAGGAGGAGGAGGAGGAGGACGAGAAGGAAGAGGGAGCGGAGGAGGAGAAGGAGGAGGAGGGGCGGAATGAGGAGGAGGAGGAGGAGGAGGAGGAGGAGGAGGAGGAGGAGGAGGAGGAGAGAGGAGGCTAGAGAAGACTGGAGGATTTCGGCCTCAACGCCAGCACTGCCAAATTATTCGTGCACGGAGCCGCTGGCCGCACAGCGCAAGAGGCGCGAGGGGAGAGAGAGAGAGCCACGCATCTGCCCCCGCGAAACGCCATGAAACACGAAACTTCGCCGGAACCTACCGACTCGGGTGCACCGACCGACTCGGTCGCAGCAACTGCTACACCTGTCTCGGCGGCGAGCCCGGGAAAAAAGGTGGGCAGGGGCAGGCCATTCTCAGAAGGCGGCGGGGCTTCTCGCTGGCCCTCGCGCCTCCTGAGGGGCCCTGTTCGCCTTCTCCGAGGCTTCTCAGAAGGCGCGAGGGCTTCTAAGAGGCCCCGCCGCTTTCCAAGAAGGCCTGCCCCCTCTCAGTTCCCCGCAAGGCTCGCCGCCGACTGTCACTGTTGACGACTATGGCACCACCGAGCAGCACTGGTGCTGGGTTGGGGTCGGAGTCGGGGCGGCATCGCTGCCCTCAAAGAACAAGTGAGCTTACATCACCACCAAGCCCTCCAGGGGCAAGAGCGACACCGTCTGGGGCCGCACTTGTCTGAGGTCTGCAGCGAGCCGGGTCCAACAAGCGGTCAAGCAAACGGTAAGGCGCATCAGCTGCGAAACGGGATGCAGAGGCGCAGGCAGGCGAGGGGAGAAGAACAAAAAAGGCCTTGGGACGGCGGGGGAACCCTCGAAATGGCAGCACACGCGTGGCGGGTGTGATGGAGGCCGTGTGCCACTGAACCAAAGGCCTATGCGATCGCGTGAAAGACGGCTGCGAGGGGACGGCTGCACGGACCCTCGGCCTGATAGCAAGCCAGGGGCGAACCATGATGCGACCACTGGACCGCTGCAGGAGCCCAGAAACGACTTCCACACCGACAGCGGCATCTACTTCACGGATACGAAGAGGAGAAGGGAGGAAGAGGAAGAAGGAGGACGAGGAGGAGGTGGAGGAGGAGGAGGAGGAGGCGGAGTGCAACCATGGAGGAAGAGGAGGAGGCGGCGGCAGATGGAACCGAAGTGGGCCAGCGCAGGCTTCACGAGCGCGCCCTGCGGGACCAGCTTCAGGAAGTCTGAGGCGTCCGTCCCGTACTTGGCGCAGACGGACGTGTACCCCTTCGCAATGTCTTGGACACGTGGGCAATCGAAGAAGCAGTGCGCTGCATCGACACGCCCACACTTCTTACGGCACAGAAGGCACATCTGAATGCGATTATCAGCAATTCTCGAGGGGATGTCGTCGACCAAGCCTTTCCACGCCTGCTTCCAATTGCTGATCCACGCTTTCACGGCCTCGGCGACGCGGAGGTAAGCGATCTCAAGACCATCGCCCGAGGCACCCCTGTTTGCAGAAAAGTTATCGAAGAGCTTCCGTAACCACTGGTTGTCTGCCAGCCCACGCTTGCTAGGGGTGGAACGGCGTGTGAGATGATTGGCTGTCCCCTCCTCTTCTGGAGGAACACTGTATACGCACACGCATTCCGAGCTATGCGTTTCCTGGATCGGCGCTGAAGCCCCCTCCCTGGCGCGCGGGGCGCACCAAGGCGGCGTCGGAGGCGCCGCCAGGGGGACCCGGCGCCGATTCAAGAAATGCGCGCGGAGCTCCAAAAGTATATGCTTGCGCAGGTGTTCGTCCACGAATGTTGGCATTCCGCGGGGACCATGTCTGTCCTCTTTGAGGGGGGGCGGGGGCCCATTAACCCACTAGCTGGGCCCTCAGAGCTGGCGGCGCTCCCCCTCCGCGCAGGCCACGCGGGAGGCGCAGGCTCTGACCTGCCACATGAAGTGGCGCGCTTGCCCCAAACAGAGGTTTTTTGCACAGGAGAGCGGCGAGCGACAGAAGGACGGGCAGAGAAGGGCGAGGGGCCCTGGGCTAAGGAGGGGGCCCGGCCACAAGAAAGCTTCCACAAAAAAACCCAACTCTGAGACCCCAGGACGTCCATCGATCTTCGGCGTGGGAGCGTCACGCGCCCCGTGGCAAAACCACATCGAAACCCAAGAAACCCAGGGTTCCCTAGAGGCAAGCAGGGTGATTCTTGGCATGGGCCCCCACTGTAGGGGGGAGGCGCCGAGGAGGAGGAGGAGGAAAAGGAGGAGGAGGAGGAGGAGGAGGAGGAGGAGGAGGAGGAGCCCTCTGTCCCCCTGGTGGGAGGGCCCGTTCCCCCGCGGAGGGCTTCGTTCTCTGGCGGCAATTCCGGGGCGGGCGCTCCCCGGGTCCCGGGCCCCAAACCCACGGGCCTCCAGACCCAGGCACCCCAAACCCAGGCCTTAAACACCCACCCCCCCGCCCCCCAGCATGAGAGCATGACCAGCGCATGGCGCACGCGGGGTTGAACATTTAGTGGGGCACAGGTGCGGCATCCGTCTCTAACACCCAGCTGTTAGGCATACGCACCTCGATCGAAGCAGAGCTGATGCACAGCCAAACGCATCTCAGTACTGCCAATGCGACACGATGAGGTACCAGCGGCGCAATGAGGACATGGAAACCACACAAGTGTGACACATCGTAGGCGCATTGAGTCACACAGCTCGAAACACCAGAAACATGTTGAAACACACGCTGTCCACCACACCCTAATCTGAAATACGGCAAGGCCGTAGCTGTTGAACAATGTATAACGCATAATGAGGCCATCACCAGCTCATTATTGATACACTGCTCCCATACATGAAGTGCTCTATGGGCGCATGCGCAGCACACAGTGCAAGCAATATGAGGGCACTCCTACCACATACTAACCACACATCCCATGCGCAGTTGGTTCAGGCTTCAGGCATCGATATTTTCGCACCAGAAGCATGCATCGTGATTAAATGGATGCGTGCACGTTAACGGAACTAGTTCCGGAGCAAAGAGCAACTAAGGTGAAGTGGCGCATAGCAGATGGGTGAAGCAGCACATGTAAGCAATTGGCATGCGTGTTTCGGTGTACTACGTGAAAGCTGCGCATGCCAAACATGTGTCTCCCATGCCTGCCGTGTGAATGCGGGTATACGCATGCGCCTGTGCATAAACACGTGTATATTTGCGTGCGCATGTATCCACATATGTCCATGTGCGCCGATCGCAAAGGCGAGGCCAGAAAACAATATGGTTTGGGGCCCACAGGGGGCCAAGGATCTGGCTGAAAGCGGCGTGTCCCCCGAAACGCAAGCCGCGGCATCCCCACCATGATGCAACTTCAGCGGACATGTCGACCAACGCCCATGCGCATGTGGCCCACAAATTTGGCCATCTTCTGCTTCTGCTGGCTTTCGCCGGCCTTCCGCCGGCTTCTGCTGGCGGAGTCAGCCCCGTTCTGCTCCTGGTGGCGTCCGCCGCCCATTCCACCGCCTTCCGCCGAACGGGTTCACTCCCCGTCTGCATGTTCCCTTGCGCCGAAGATACCTGGCACACTATTCTAACAAGCGCAAGCGAGCCCCTTGGCGAAAACGCGGAGAGGGGGGGGAGGGAGGGAGGGGGCGAAAGAGGACGAGGCAGCTGAGCCCGGAGCTGCCAGCGTTAGCCTCAGTCCGGCGGCCCGGCCTGCGACGCGAGCCGCCGCCGAATATATCTGACACACATCTCGGGCACTGCTCACTGGGAGGCCGATGCGGTAAGCAGATAAACTCTGTTCACGGGATGGCGGGCCTGTCGCTGCCGCAGGGAAGCGTCGGGGGAGCGGCCAAAGGGCCTCCTCTGGGCCCATAGGAACCGTCTTGGGGCCGTTTTGTTGCCACGGGTTCCATCCGGCATGCGTTCCGCCTCTGCTGGGCCATGCTCGGCTCGTTTGGCGAGGGCTTCAATTAGGGCGGGCATGCCCCTCCACAGGTGGATCGTTGGCGAAAACTTGAAAATATTCAAAACGTATTCCACAAATATACAAAAATACTCAAAACATCGTCCCCGCACGATTTGTTTTGACTATTTTTGAGAATTCCTCCTGTAAAGGGGCACGCCCGACTTAAGGCTAAAAAGGGCGGGTGGTGCACGCCAGGCGCCGAGCATAGTCGGGGATGCCCTCCAGCAGCCAGAGGCTGGAAGGGGTGAGTTCCGCTTTGGCAAAGCTCCAAGGTGCCGCCCCATCGAGATCCAAGGGGCCCCCGAGGAATCCCACGACCGACGCGGGGGAAGAAAAACACCAACCGACAACAACTTCACGCAAGCAGCACGGTGGAAAACACCACACAACACACCCGGAATCGGAAGCCGCACATACCCGCTCGTTTGGGTCGGCAGAATAGCACAAGCCTTTTGGGATAGTCGGGGATGCCATCCCTCAGCCAGAAGCCGGAGGGCTTGAGTTCCGCAGAGAAGTGCAGCACGCAGATGTCGTCCCACCCCAGCCGCAAGCGCTCGCCGCACGGGTTCATCAGGATCTGGTGAAGCTGGTAGTTGTACTTCGGGTGGAGGCCGCTCCAGCTGTCCTTGTAGAACAGCGTGAGGAAAGCTGCCAGTCCCCGCGTGGGGGGCACCAGGCGTGTTCGCCTTGCGCCCGTGCCTCTGAGGCGACTGGCCTCCGCTACACACGGGCACCTGGGGCCGCCTACCGCTGACCTCATTCCCGGCCTGCTCACCACGACCCCCCGAGGAATATCGAGGATGTTGGACGCTGTTGGCCCATTTCGCGCTTCCCCAAGGGCGTCCAGGGGCCTAGGGGTCAGGATCTGGGGCTCTTCCTCCTCCTCCTCCTTTTCCTCCTCCTCCTCCTCCTCCTCCTTCTCCTCCACAGTTACACAACATGAATACTACTCTCCCCTCTCCCCTGGTGACGTCCGGGAAATGTCCGGCCCCCTCCGCGTACGGGATTTTTTGCACAGGAATCCCGGGGGTTGGGCCTTCGCTTGGGCTTTTGTTCAAAATGCTGCTCTCGCTGCAGCGCTGGCCTCATTTTCGGCGCTGGCCTCATTTCCGCGTTTCCGCTCGTTCCGAATCGTGCGCCCGTGCATATGTGGCGTCATTACTTCCAGCGCCATGCCATGGCATGGTTTTCGGTCCTTCCAACTAGGCCCAAAATTCTGGAAAATGCCCACCCGAAAAAACCATGGGAAGTGATTACAAAGTCGGTGTCGATTCGTTGATGTTTGGGACTGCAGAAGCCCCCCTCCGCTCTGGGGCGTTGCCACACCATGCTAAGTCCGGCAACGCGTCCTCCGAATCGCGTTCCCGCGCAGAACAAACTTCACAAGGCGGGTGATCCGGTGATCCGGTGATCCGGTGATCCGGCGATCCGGTGATCCGGTGATCCGGTGATCCGGTGATCCGGTGATCCGGTGATCCGGTGATCCGGTGATCCGGTGATCCGGTGATCCGGTGATCCGGTGATCTGGTGATCTGGTGATCCGTGATCCGGTGATCCGGTGATCTGGTGATCCGGTGATCCGGTGCTCCGGTGATCCGGTGATCCGGTGATCCGGCGATCCGGCGATCCGGTGATCCGGTGATCCGGTGATCCGGTGATCCGGTGATCCGGTGATCCGGTGACCGGTGATCCGGCGATCCGGTGATCCGGTGATCCGGTGATCCGGTGATCCTGTGATCCCGTGATCCGGTGATCCGGTGATCCGGTGATCCGGTGATCCGGGTATCCGGTGATCCGGTGATCCGGTGATCCCGTGATCCCGTGATCCGGTGATCCGGTGATCCGGTGATCCGGTGATCCAGTGATCCGGTGATCCGGTGATCCGGTGATCCGGCGATCCGGCGATCCGGTGAGCCGGCGATCTCGCGATCCGACGCTCGGCGATCTGGCGATCCGGCGAGACGGCGATCTCGGCGGTCCGGATCCAGCGCCCTGGCGAGCCGGTGAACCGCATGATTTTCACCACGTAGATTCTATTACATGGATGGCACAGTACATCTTACACCACCCGGCTTGCGCCGATAGCTTGCGCCACGTCGAGTGGACCGCATACATAATCCATATAGCTCGCAGCACATAGCACATAGCGCACACCGCATACCTTGCACCACACACCTTGCGCCACATAGGTTAGAGCTCATAGACCACCGCTGAGTGTGCACCTCACACACTGTGCCGCAGAGCTTATGCACCTCATACCTTACGTCGCATAGTGCGCACCATATAGATCGCACCGCATAGTTCAGACCACGTAGATTGTACCACATCGCTGCGCCCGTACAGCTTACACCACACGGTTTGCACCGCATTGCTTGCACCTCATAGCTTACACCGCATGGGGTGCACTTCATCTTGTGGACCGCATAGCCCATCTACATAGACCGCAACACATATCACATATTTCACCACGCAGCTTGCACCGCATAGAGTGCACCTCATTGCTCACACCGCACAGCGTGCACCACACACATGGCACCGCGTAGCCAACCCACATACCTAACACCACTCAGCCTGCACCGCATGCATTTCACTACAAAGGTTGAAAGAAGTCGCTGCGAGGGGCCCACGCTGGCTGGCATGTTTTGCTGGCAAGTACACAGCACCAGTACCGCGAGTGAACAGAGCGCATTACCGGTCTCTCGGCTGGGCCGCCGGCCCGCCCGAGCGATCTACGCCGTCGTGCCCTCTGTCGGTCGGCTTGGCCGAGAGACGTCCGGGTCGTGTTTCATGTTGCCGCAGGCGTACCTCCTGCGGTTGCACTCCGCCTGATGGACCAGCCACTCGTTGTGCTCCGTGAACAAAGCCCACCAGTACACGCCGAAGTGGCCTGGAGTCATCTCCCGCCCAGGCGCAGTGCGCTCGTTGATCCAGGAATTCAATAGCTCGCAAGCCTGCGTGTTCTTGCCCGCCATGAGCACTGCATTATCCTCAGAGTCGGGATCCACCTCTGGTAGATTGCTCAGGCACCACGCATGGTTGCCCTTGTGGAAGCCGTCCAAGATCATCTTCACCTTATCCACGAACTCCTGGGACCACGGCTTCTGAAGCTCTCTCTTCGCCCAGGCGAAAGCGAGCAACTGGCGCGCGTTGTCGTATCCTATGACTTGGAGCGCCGCCTTCAGCTCTGAAAGATCCTTGAACAGCCGGAAGAAGAACAAGTACATCACCTCGATGCCTTCCCCTGGCCACAATTCCTGCCAGTCGGCCAGATAGCCGCACTGGAGAACGGCGGTCACGATACCGCCCGTGCAGCGCCTTCGCCGCGCCTCGGACGCGTTCTCTTTGCTGATGCCGCAGGGCGTTTTCTCGACCGGCACCTCGCGGGCAGCGTAGAGCCAATTGGAGCCGACGGCGTCGCGGCGAGCGGCGGCCGCAGTGCTAGGCGTGCGCTTCGCCCGCCCAAGTGCCTGCGCGGGCGCCGCGGCGCTGCCCCGCCGCCGGCCGCGCGGCTTGGCTGCCCCCGCGGGGGCGGCCTTCGCCTTCGCCTGCCCTTGGCGCTTGCCGCGCGCCCCCGCGGCCCCCTGCGGCGCGCTCTTCCTGGGCCCAGTGGATGCCAGCGCGCGGGGGCCATCCGCCATCGCGCGCCTCTTGCGCGCGCCGCGCCCCGCGGCGACCCGCGGCGGCGCGCTCCTCTTGAGCCCGCCGCTGGCGCTGCTCCGCGGCGGCTGCGGGGCGCAGGAACCGCGGGCACCCTTATGCCAGAGCGTCTTCTGCAATTTGCTCTTCCACGTGGGCGGCTTCTGCAACTTCTGTCGCGGGTCGCTCCGAAGGGGGAGACTGCCGACCTCGAACTGCGCGAGGAGATCCTGCCGCACTTCGGAACGCGGGAGCGAGAATTCGAAGAGCTCCCCGTCGCTGGCGACGGTCTTGCATTCGACGACGTAGCGGGTCTCCAAGCCGAAACCGCCGTCCGGGGCCGGCGCCAGCTCGGCTCGTAGGACCCGGAGTTGGGGGACTAGGCCAGTCTGCTCTTTACCAGAAGGTCGACATGTCTGGCACAGGTGGCGCCTACCGCCGACGTGTGCCCGGCACCCCGTGTACAGCGTGGCGCCCACGTCTGGATAGGTGATGGACCCGTCAGTGCCGGCGCAGACGTGGCGGCAAGCCCCGCGCTTCCCGTCGCCGATGACCAGGAGCAAACGCTGGCACCGCGGGCACGACGCCACGTGAGAAGCTATTCTTCTCAAGTTGGCCATGCGGAATGCAGGCTGCAGCTGGACTAACGTCGCATCAAATTGCGACAGTTCGAAAGACCACGTCTGCTCCTTAGCTGCGTCGCCGGCCAAACGCGCGGCCTGCCACGTGAACCACGCGAGTTCAAGGCAGTCACGGGTGAGATGTACAAGGGTCAAATCATCTCCCACAGTCAACCGGGCCTGGATCGCGCTGCGGTGCTGCCGGGCCCACACGTGTACTATGGAAGTGAAGGTGGCCCCGCTGAAAGCCAATTGGTCTGTGACTGTACGCAGGAAATGAGTCTCCACCGCAAAATAACTCTGCCGCCGGGGGATGACCACGTACAGGTCGTCAACCGTACTGCCCACGAACTTGACATCTGTGCAGCGACCGAACGTCGGCTGACCACGCTCGCCAACGTTCTTTCTGTAGGACCATCCCCCCAAGAAGAAACGCGAGCACTTCGGGCACCGGCTCTCTTCAAACACTGCGTACTGCACGCCAGCGGTCCACGAATATATTTTATACCGGACGGTAACATTGCTCTCTGGTGGCGTTCCCGCGCGGGCGGCTTCGGCTCTCAAAATTGGTGAATTTCGGCCGCTGGCGCATTTGTCGATGCCCGGGCACGGGCAGAGGGAGATCCCCTCGCAGCGCGGGCACGTGCCTTGGCGAGCAGGAATGCGAACAAGGGTAACATCTGGAGCCGCATCCTGCATTTCCTTCAAACGTGCTGCCAGTTTGCCTGGTTGGCAGCGGTTGGTCACCAAGCTCGGCAAGTATGTTTGCACCTTCCAAAGAACGTTTGCCAGCACAGTGTCGTCGACCTGTCCATAACCCTGCTCGGACAGGACGCATTTCAGGACAGGCAAGGCGAGGGTGGCATCGACGTGCGCCAACACGTCGCAGAAAGCCGCGGTGCACTGCACAGGCAAATGCTCCAGAATCCGAGCAAGGGAGAAGTGCCCCCCTGGATCGCCGGCCATGGCGAAGCCGACGCGGTCGGAATATGCGAACAATGTCCGAGGGCGAAGCTGAGAGGACGACCTCGCATGCTTGAGCCTAATTGGGCCAGGACGGGGATGGCAAAGACGATGAGAGCCACGATATTACAAATCAGAAGCTGATATTGCCACGACGTCCGGACCTTAGAAAAGAACGAGCGGGGTACGCAAGAAGACACAGACAATAAAAAACAATGCGCAGCATCATGTTGGTTGCCGTGTTGTCTGTTTGAC